CGGCCAATACCCAGCCTTCCCAGTACAGCTGAACTAGAGCAACTGGCGCCATGCTGGTACTTGCATTTACATTCAGTAAAAAAGGAAAGCGCCTTTATAAATATGAGTAACTACTAAAAAGTTCCTTCAAATTGCAAGTGAAAAAACTGAATGTGGGCACGTGGGTGTAGCTAAAAGCTCAAGGTTATGAAATGAGCTGCCCTATGAAGGCTTGCTATTGGCTGATTTCATGCCAGAGGGAGGCCAGACGGAGTGGTATCATTGTTCCTCTTTAAGGCAGCAAAACCTACTGAGAATTAAAATGACATTAGCTCCTAAGAATGGCATATATTCTTCGCATGATCTGTTCAGTATTACTGAGGCCATACCACAATATAACACTATGTAATGTTGGAACTATATGCAATCCATGAAGAAAGTGAACACTCAAAATGTATCACATGAAAATCTTACCGTTTCGTCTCTGAAATGTGTCTCTGAACTCTTCTCTTCCAAAGACGTGGGGAGCAATGACTGCTGGATCCTGAGAACAAAACAGCTTCCAATTAAACTCATCCTCTTACTGTAGCTTGAACTCACGGCATATTAGAGGCAGTGCTTCCAGTTAAACTCATCCTCTTACTGCAGCTCTAACTCACAGTATATGGAGACAGAGCTTCCAGTTAAACAAATCCTCTTACAGCAGTTGTAACTTACAGCTCACCTGTAATTCCATCAATAAGCCTGACTTTACCCAAAATAAGTAATTAAATGAAAAGATAATCAAGCAGTACTGACCATTGATGATAGTATAATTACCTTTCTTTTGCTCTGCAATCTCCTCCAAACATTATTGGGTGTACCATCGAGGCTTCACTCTTCATAGATTGACAGTTGGGTACAGGTGACCCAGCTCTTTGTACCTGAACTCTGAAAACATAACATGGAGTCAGAACTTCCAGTTAAACTAATCCTCTTACTGCAGCTCTAACTCACAGTACATAGGGACAGAGCTTCCAGTTAAACTAATCCTCTTACAGCAGTTGTAACTTACAGCTCACCTGTAATTCCATCAATAAGCCCGACTTTACCCAAAATAAGTAATTAAATTAAAAGATAATCAAGCAGTACTGACCATTGATGATAGTATAATTACCTTTCTTTTGCTCTGTAATCTCCTCCAAACATTATTGGGAGCACCATCGAGGCTTCACTCTTCATAGATTGACAGCTGGGTACAGGTGACCCAGCTCTTTGTACCTGAACTCTGAAAACATAACATGGAGTCAGAGCTTCCAGTTAAACTAATCCTCTTACAGCAGTTGTAACTTACAGCTCACCTGTAATTCCAAAAAAGAGCTCAACTTTACCCAAAATAAGTAATTAAATGAAAAGATAATCAAGCAGTACTGGCCAATAATATTAGTTTAATTACCTTTCTTCTGCTCTGAAATCTCCTTCAAACATTATTGGGAGTACCATCGAGGCTTCACTCTTCATAGATTGATAGCTGGGTACAGGTGACCCAGCTCTTTGTACCTCAACTCTGAAAAGAAAACATGGAGTCAGGACTTCCAGTTAAACTAATCCTCTAACTGTCCCTCTAACTCACAGTACACAGGGACAGAGCTTCCAGTTAAACTAATCCTCTTACAGCAGTTGTAACTTACAGCTCACCTGTAATTCCAAAAATAAGCCCAACTTTACCGGAAATAAGAAATTAAATGAAAAGATAATCAAGTAGTACTGACCATAAATATTAGAATAATTACCTTTCTTCTGCTCTGTAATCTCCTCCAAACATTATTGGGAGTTCCATCGAGGCTTCACTCTTCATAGATTGACAGTTGGGTACAGGTGACCCAGCTCTTTGTACCTGAACTCTGAAAACATAACATGGAGTCAGAGCTTCCAGTTAAACTAATCCTCTTACTGCAGCTCTAACTCACAGTACATAGGGACAGAGCTTCCAGTTAAACTAATCCTCTTATAGTAGTTGTAACATACAGCTCAACTGTAATTCCATAAATGAACCCAACTTTACGCGAAATAAGTAATTAAATGAAAAGATAATCAAGCAGTACTGACCATTTATATTAAATTAATTACCTTTCTTCTGCTCTGTAATCTCCTCCAAACTTTATTGGAAGTTCCATTGAGACTTCACTCTTCATAGATTGACAGCAGGGTACAGGTGACCCAGCTCTTTCTACCTGAACTCTGAAAAGAAAACATGGAGACAGAGCTTCCACTTAAACTCATCCTCGATCTGTAGCTCTAACTCACAGTACGTGGTGTCGATACAGGGAATGGGCCCAACTGCAAACTTGAGTAAAGTGGGAAAGGCAGATATACTGAGGGCAAGATCAGGGTCAGACAGTCAAGGATGGTCAGAATCAGGCGATCTGAAGCCAAAGAAGTGTAATCCAAATCATGGTCACAGAACAAGATAAGAGTCAAATGCCAACACAAGGATGAGACAGAATCATAAATCCAAACAAGAGGCTCCTCAGAGCCTGTACTCGGGCTGGGTCTAGGCCTGGGCCAATCGCCAAACCGCGCCCGCGCATGAGCAGGAAACTTAGACTCGTGGCCTACCGGCCCAAGTAATAACCTGCAGAAATCAAAACCAGGAGATCACAATGCACAAGGAGATATGCAGACTTGAAAACTGTGGGCAAAAACAGATCGAAACTGGAGTAAAAAAAACTTGGAAAATAAGAGGCTTTTAAGGGACTAGGAAAGGCAAACACATGCAAAAAAAAAAAAAAAAACTTGCAAACAGAATGGGCTACATGAAGGGAACAGATGACACAGGGAAACTCAAATCAGGTGCCTGAGAGCTAGAAAGTGTCACTAGGGCCACGGCTGCATACAAGATAAAAAATGAAACATAAAATTAAAATAAACAAACATATTACTGAACACTGACAGGAGCAAGAAGCTCCAGAGCAGGTGAGGAGGCAGGCAGGTTGCAAATCAAGAAAACACATGACAGGTTTACGTACTTATACCAGTTTATGTCACAGCTGGGGGCTCCATCTTCTGCGTCTGGTTCCCCAGGGAGATTCATTTTACAAACAGCGCCCCCTGCCTCAGTAGGCTGGAACACATCAGAGCAGATGAGACCACACGAGGACTCTGGCACAAACTTGACAGCCAGTAAAAACATAAGAGGAAAAAACACAGAACAGTGACATCACTAACACACTAATATTAGGTGTTCACAAATATGATACATTTAGTTTTGTCAGGAAGAAATTAACCATTAAAATTACCTGTATACCAGTATACGTGCCACACAGTTGCACCTAAAACTTTGCCAATGATCAGCTGTATGATATCAATAGTTAATATACTCCAGTGACTGTATTCATTGTTCAGCATACATTGACAACTGCCACCCCATGTATTCACTATAGAGAGATCCTTTCTTATCCGGGTTGGAGGAGAGCTCCTGCCTCAAGTGGAGGAGTTTAAGTATCTTGGGGTCGTGTTCACGAGTGAGGGAAGGATGGAGCGTGAGATTGACAGACGGATCGGTGCAGCGGCAGTAGTAATGCGGTCATTGTACCGATCTGTTGCGGTGAAGATGGAGCTGAGCTGAAAGGCGAAGCTCTCAATTTACTAGTCAATCTACGTTCCTACCCTACCTATGGTCATGAACTTTGGGTCATGACCGAAAGAACGAGATCTCGGATACAAGTGGCTGAAATGGGTTTCCTCCGTAGGGTGGCGGGGCGCTCCCTTAGAGATAGGGTGAGAAGCTCTGTCACCCTGGAGGAGCGCAGATTAGAGCCACTGCTCCTCCACGTCGAGAGGAGCCAGCTGAGGTGGCTTGGGCATCTATATCAGATGCCCCCTGGACGCCTTCCTGGGAAGGTGTTCCGGGCATGCCCCACCGGGAGGAGGCCCCGGGGAAGACCCAGGACACGCTGGAGGGACTATGTCACTCGGCTGGCCTGGGAACGCCTCGGGATATCCCCGGAAGAACTGGAGGAAGTGTCCAGGAAGAGGGAGGTCTGGGCATCCTTGCTTAGACTGCTGCCCCCGCGACCCGGCCCCAGATAAGCTGAAGAAGATGGATGGATGGATGGATGGATGGATGGCTGGCTGGCTGGCTGGCTATCATTTTTTCACCCTACCCTTGCAAGGGTAATGGCACTAAGCCTTTCATATAATGTCTTCTAAGACTGAAGAACACAGTGGGACGGATCTTAAACCCTCCCTACATCCAGAGCGCACACTTAGATACCCTTAATATCTGCTCTGACCAAGGACTGTTCTGCTCAACTCAAACCATAAGTTTTCCATGGAGTTCACATCTGAAGGCTATTTATGCAGCAAAATGTTGTTCTGTAAATGAGAATGTATAAGTAAATTGTAATGTGAGGTCAGGGTTACTGTTGTTCTGTAGTAAAATCATAAAGTATTAGTAAATTGTAATGTGAGGTCAGAGTTACTGTTGGAACATCGAAAACAGTTTTTTTCTGTGAATTTGTGAGTTTGTTTCTTCTGTTAGATTGCACGCCCTCGGGTCCTGAGCAATGCACCTGCTATGTGAAGTCAACTGAATCAACAGTTGTAAAGAAAAACAAAGGACATGCAGTCCGAGACTCTTTCCATTTTGGTAAGTGTCTGGAGTGTCTGAATTAGGCTTGGCTTCCACATACCCTAATTGTGAAACAAGAAATTGATGGAATTGATGGGATTAAAGATGCCTGCTTTTGTTTCTCTGCAATTTTTAATAGCCCTGCAGGCAATGTGAGAGACAGTACATTTTTGTCGACGAGGCTTTATTCCTGAAACTGACTGTGCCGCCATGCCACCCACATAAACACAAACTATATGCCATGGTCATTTCACACCACCGCATGGCAACTGCCCTGACAGCAGCCTACCTGCAAATGTGTTTACCAAACAAGGGAAGCGTTTTTTAAAAACTGCTGCTGCCACTACGGTCCATGACTACGATGACAGGCAGGGGCTTTAGGTGAAGGTCATAGTGTTGGTGTTTGGGAGACGCGGTAGCGCAGTGGTTAAGTGTGCTTGACCTGGGATCAAAAGGTCCTGCATTCAAGTCCCTGCCACGGCCTGTGCGGTGTGTTCTTGGGCAAAACATTTCATTCCCACACTCCCCGCCTCACTCCACTCCAATACACTCCCAGGTGTATTATTGGGTACCAGCAAATTGTCAGGGAAACCTGACAAAGGGCTGGGGGAGTACCTGCAATGGACTAGCATCCCATCCAGGGGGAGTAGCAATACTCCTAGTCGCTTCATGCCACAGAACCTGGGGGTAAGCACTGATGGGCCACTACGCTCGGAACGGGCTTACTTGCATAGTGTTGGTAGAAGTTCACCCCATTCTATTTCCGTGATGCCCACCCCCTTCAATTTGACTGGCCAATGCCAGGTGATTAACGCCAGAACTGCAGCATGGTGAACTACCGGCAGCAGAGCAAAATCGGTGTGCATTCATATCAATAGCAATTTCATACTCCTACTGCAGAGATCAAAATTGTTTCCCCTCATTGAAACACAGGACGCGTCACGTTACCCCAAGCCCCATTAGGGAGGATATGGCTGTAGTGGGTCATAATTGTGCAATAAACCTCAACAGGGCCATTCAGGACCCCTATGCGAAACAGAGGGGTTTGGGTTTAATTTGCAGTGATGACCCACTCACTGTACATTACCCCTCATATTCCACAGCTACTAAAAAAAAAAAAAAAAATCAACAATTTAAAATTTGACTGGAAATCTATTTGTTTTCTTTAGCCCCATATAGTTTATATGAATGATGCATAAATAAATAAAATAAATAAATAGTTCTTTACTTTGGGCAGTTTACTACGTTACTGAATGTCCGTAAAACAGGACAGCACTTTCGTATTGTTTTATTTTCAATGAACAGAGCCAAGAAAGACCAATCAGAGAGGGGTTTTACGGGAAAATACGTCCAAATGCTGTCTTATTGGCTGACAGGTCTCCGTGGAGTTGAAAAGCCGAATGATGTTATCAGTCATGTGAGGGAGTGCATATTCGTGGATTATCGTTTTACCTGTAAAACGGTGGAAGCTGTCATCCCCTCATGATGAACTAGGAAAACAAGGCGTGTAAATTTCTATTTGAGTCCCTAGTTAAGTAAACGTGATTGATATGAGCAGATATGAGCGCATCTTTACACGGCATATATTAGTTTGATTAGTCTTCGACTTAACAATCGCTTGATGCGTACAATCATGTCATTTGTTGCCATATTTTGTACCACAGTATGACTGGCGATTTCTGAGCCAACATTATGCGAAAGATAGTACTTCCAAGTTAGCTTTAAAGGCACAAGACAGCGCACAATATCTGATTCATCATCAATAATGATCAAAACTTCGTACTGACAACAAACCATTCCTTCACGGTTGGGTTGGTTGTCTGTGAACTCATCGCTGTTAAAATATGTTCAGACCAGTGCAATAGTTAGCCAGTAAGGTAGTTTGCTGAATCCCAACTCAACAGTTCTCAAACTCGGTCCTGGGGTGAACGCTGTGTGCGATGGTTTTTGCTCTAACCAGAATTGCTATCGCAGAATTTTAACGAGCCGCAAGCAATTATTTTTCTTAACAAGTGGGTTATAATGTTAGAGGGGCGTTTCACTCTTTTAAACTCTATTATGGCTGAAATGGCTATGCTTTCAATGATTTTCAAAAACTCAGTGCAAGTAACAGCAATGTGTTTGTAAAAATAGACTACACCTTATGACCGAATGGACACCAAGCTTTTGACCAATAACAATAAAGGAATAAGCCCCGAGAAGCAGTGGGTCACAGTGATTTTATAACGGCGGAGGGGCGTTCTAAGGCACGACGCGCAGCGGAGTGCCTTAGTGCCCCTCCGCCTTTATAAAATCACTGTAACCCACTGCTTCAAGGGGCTTATTGCTTTTATAAAACGGTTACCCTACATATAGCCCATTAAATAAACACACAAGAAAAAAAAACAACAATTTATTGGTGACAATGCAACAAAATTGAGAACTATTCGTTCTTCCACCAAGCAAGATCGAGTGGACAGAATGGTTGGCAAGCAACACAGACGCTAAGATTGCTTTTTCATCTGGCGCCATTATCATGTCACATCAGGTTATTTGGGCTCGTTAATGTAGATATACTATGAAAGCAGGCTATTTGGAATGTCTCCTTCGGTCTCCCGAAGGCCCCGCTAAATAATTTTACGTTCATTTCGGTTTTCGAGTTTCCTTGTTCTCAACTCGCGCCTATCGGCCATATCATTACAACCAGCAGCGAGAGTAGGGAACAAGATTTACTTTTGTCCTTCACACTTGCCGGTGTCCAGGAAAATGTTGAATTGTGCATTAGTTTGCTAGACAGCTTGTCAACTAGCTAGCATTCACTACAGTGGATGTGGTTACCCTACACATAGCCCATAAAATAAACACACAAGAAAAAAAATTAACAATTTATCGCTAATACTGAAATAGCGAGCTAGTTAGCAACGTTGCTAGCAAGCTAAAGTGATATCGAAATCTATAATGCTATAGCTAGCTAGGTAGATAGCCAACTGGTTAGCGGGTTGAAAGGCTAAACTTCGCTAACACTGTTATAACGAGCTAAAAGTCTTGAAACAAACATAACCTAACGAGTCAGTCGAGCGCAGACTAGTTGGTTGCGAGGCCGGTCTGCCTCAGAATACAGTGGGTCACAGTGATTTTATACCAGCATGGAACGCGGCTCAGCCAATCACATTTAAGGATGGGAAGCACCCGTTTTATAATACGTGTTAATCCGCTAGGCGTGGTGTTGTAATTATGACTGAATTAAGTAAATACAGTGGCGCTTGCTACCGCTGGGGACTTTGGGTTTACCATCTTAAAGCACTCTCTAGAGAGAAGTGGATGAGGGTGCCAGTACTGAGACTTGTTTGTTGCTGGCATCAGAATTAGTGATTATCTGAAATGTTTAACATTCGAAACCCTAAACATTTGATATTTACATCAAGGATTCCAATAAATTGTGCACAAAACATTGAGCTCGCCTAAAGTTCAATTTGGAATCAGTTAATGGAAATCTTAAAAGTTAAATATTTTAAATAAACATTAGACAATTCCACTAATTCTGATTCCAACAGCACAAAATTTTGAGCTCATCCCAAGTCCAATTTAGCATTTTTGTCTGGCCTCTCTATTGCCCTTAAAGGGTGTGTCCCTTTTTAATTTTGGGATGCCAAAAATGGCTGCATTGATAAAACTGTTAAAGAAAAAATAAAGCAATTAAGGGTTTAAAGGGATTTCAATTGCCAGTCTTTTGAATAAATTCCATGCTAAATGCTCAAGAGGTTTTAATTTAGCTTTTATGGTCCACAGGGTCCCCATTATTAGAGGTTGGAATTGAATGGACCCAAAATTATATATACAATCGAACGTATTACAAGGCAAATATGTGAAGTGTGACCTTGTTCATGCTGCATGCACTTTGCCCGCTTTGAAGCCCTTTCAAAAGTTTTCTTAAATCCATGAGTGACTAATAAAAAAATTACGACTATGAAAAAGTGAAGAACATTTTTTTGACTTTATTTCTTGAGGGACAAAGAGAAGAATATTTTTCAGAACCCAGGGGGAACCCTGTATGGGGATGCATTAGTGCATATGGTGTGGGACACTTGCTGTTTTAAAAAGCACCAATGAATGTTGAAGGTATATAAAGGTTTTAGCAACATATGCTCCCCTCCAGACAATATCTATTCCAGGGAAGGCCTTATGTATTTCAGCAGGACAATGCAAAACCACATACTGCAGCTATTACAACAGCATGGCTTCATAGTAGAAGAGTCCGTGTGCTGAACTGGCCTGCCTGCAGTCCTGATCTTTCATCGATTGAGAACATTTGGCTCATAATTAAACGAAAAGCCCCTCAAAGGAGACCCAAAACTCTCCAGCAGCTGGAAGCCTGTATTAAACAAGAGTGAGATCAAATTCCAATGGCTAAACTCAAGAAACTTGTCTCCTTAATGCCCGGACGCCTCCACTCTATGTTTAAAAGAAGAGGAGATGTTACACCAAGGTAAACAGGCCCCTGTCCCAACTTTTTTGAGACCTGTAGCAGCCATCAAATTTGAAATGAGCTCATTTTATGGATAAAATTGTAAAATTTCTCAATTTCAACATTTGCAACATCATCTCTGTTTTATTGTGAATAAAATACTGGCTGGTGTGATTTGAAAGTCATTGCGTTTTGACTTTATTCACAATTTACACTTACTATCCCAATTCCGAAATAGTTGGGACTAAGTTTTAAGTTTAACTACAAGATTAAAATACTAGGGAAGGTCTGTTTTGCAGTGAAGTGATTTTGGGAAACATTTCTGTGTAGGCAATGAACATTTATCATGCAAGATATCAACTTATCGCCATTATTGCCATTATTTAATCATTTTATCTTTATAATTAAGGAAACTTAAAACAGTAAGTAGGCATATGGATTTCCTGTTGTAAGATTCAAGTCAAAGTTTTTGCATTACTGTTACAGTAATGACATGATTATTATTATTACTATTATTATAAAATATCATAAAAATATTATTTGTTATAATTTAATATAGAGGAGGTAAAGATCTGGCAGCCCAAATAAAACTGATGTGGCTTGGAACTGGGCCGCATGTGGCGGGATTCTGGTGATGTGCAGGCAGTGTCGCCTGAGTTCCGGTGAGTGGTAATCGGGCCAGATCAATTTTCTACAACTGGGCCATGTCTGGGACGGTTATGGCACTTCGTGGACATGATACGGCAAGTGGTTATCAGGCCACATTAGTTTTTCTGTAATCGGGCCAGATCTGGGTGAGTAATGGCACATTGACGGCGGTGACGGCAGAAAGGCAACTGCGCCAGAATCGGGCAGTCATTCAATCTGATTCTGGGCAGATTACAGCTACATGGAATCGGGCCGATTAAAATGGAGTCAGAACCCGTAATCTGCCCGCATCTGGGCCAACAAGTTTTTGCTATCTGGGACGCAGTTACCTGAAAAAATATGCCGTGTCTTGGCCCGCTACGCTGTCTTTCAAGCCGCGTGATTGCAAAAT